AACAAATGGGTAGAAACATAGACATGTAATAAATTGAAATCTTATACTGAAGGAGCTATCAATATCTTACTAAAATGGTTCTTGTAAATGCCATATATTTCAAAGGAGAGTGGGCTTCTAAATTTGAAAATAAAAAAACAGTTAAAGAAGTGTTCCATTTCGAAAATAATGGTGGTTAAGTATAAGTTGATATGATGAAGGCTAAAAATAAAATTAATTATGGTGAAAATAGTCATTTTTAATACATTTAGTTACCTTATAAAGGAAATTAATATGCTATGTATATAATTTTATCTGTTAATATGGTATTTATTTTATTATTTATATATTTTTAACAAAAAATACAGACATTATAACGATTTGAATAAAATCATCTTAATTAAAATATTTTAAATGAAGTCTAAACTAATCTAGATAATTTTGAAGTTAATATTTCATTACCTAAGTTCAAAGTTTCCCCAAGTGAAAGCATTGATCTTAGTTAAATCTTAAAAGATTTAGGTTTAGTTGATTGTTTCTCTTAAGGATCTGCTGACTTTTCTAATATGGATCCTTCTAATACAATTTATATTTCACAAGTATTCCATAAAGCTATGATTGAAGTTAATGAAGAAGGTGCTGAGGCTTCTGCTGCTACTAGTGCAGTTAAGAATTTAGGTAAAAAGTATGATATGAATTTCATTTGCAATAAACCTTTCATTTATTTTATTAGTAGCTTAAATTATCTTAATGTACTTTTTATAGGAAAAGTTGTAGATCCAACCAAAAATAGATTAATACTATTTATTTTTTATAAAAAAAAAATAGTATATACATTTTTATTTAAATAAATATCATCAAAATAATTTTTATTTATTTATTTTTTAATAAAACAAAAATATAATAAAATGAAAATCATAAAAAATTATAATATCATTATTATTATTAATAATTGAAACAAAAACACTATAAACTAAATTTGTACGAGAATATTAAAAATTTTATTTTTTACATAATACCACCGAATATCAAAAATTCTTAAACGACAAACAATAATTCGAAAAACGTACCATAAGCAATATTAATTGTATAGCAACAGAAACATATCCTATAATAACTTAAAACTACTATAATTGTTCTGCTGAGTGTAATAGTAATAAATAATTAAAAAAAAAAAAAATTCATAGATTATATAAAAATGTAAAATGATTTATGAAGATTATTTCTAGACTTATAGACTTAATATATTAAAAATTATTTCAGTTTATTACCATCATGCTCGAAATAAACGAGACAAAAATATCGAATTTTCATTAAATTATTAAAGTCATTCTTATATAAATACATATAATTCAATATATATAAATATATACATATTGATAAAAATCTTAATTAAATTTAAAAAATTGGTTATTTAAAAGTGACATTTATTGATTTATATCTAAAAATATTATTTATATATTCCCTTTATAAATTAACAAAAAGTATATATTTTTTTTAGAAGTAAATTGGGTTTTGTAGTATTATGAAAATATTTTAAAATTAATTATTTATATAAATAAGATAAATTAAAATTTTAATCATTTTTTCTAATATTATATTATTAATATTAGAGTATGTTTAGATGATAAAATAATAATATAAGATATTTAATAAATAAATAAATAATATATTTATATAATTATTTATTTAAATATTTTTAATATTTAATTAAAATTATTTTTTTAGTTGAAAAATTATATTCATTTTATAGAAAATAAAAATGAATTATTTTCCTAAAATTAAAAAATATTTATTTATTTATTATTTTTTTTGTTTATATTTAAATTGTATTTTTTTATACATAATATTATATATAAATTTAAATAAATTCTTTCTTATAATATAAAATTTAACCTTTAAAAAAATATAAAATTAAATACTTTAATTAAAATATAATAAATAAATAATAATAATTATATATTTTTTTAATAATAAATATATATTCTTTTGTTATTTTAAGTATTAAAATTTTTTTTTTTAGTTATTTATCTTGCTTATTTTAAATTATAAATTATATTTTAATTATAATAAATAAAAAAAAAAATTGATTTTTTTTAATTATTTAACAGAAGATTAAAATAAAATTTAATTCTATCAAAAATAAAAAATATTATAATTATATTTAATAATCTACAAAAATAAATGGATAAATTTATTAGTTTTTTTTTTTATTTTTTATGCTTAAAAAATATTTAACATATTAATAATTAATTATTTTTATTTTAATATATATATATAAAAACTTTAAAAATATTAATATTAATAAAAATAAAATATATATATATATATATATATAATTATATAATATAATATATATTATTTTTAAAAAAAATAATAAATAATTAAAGTTAGTTCTTTTAATTTAATTATACAAATTAATATTTTTAAGAAATATAACTAATAGAATAATGAAAAAAATTCAAAATTATACATTTTCACTTGTAAATACAAATATAATAGGAAAAGGTTCATCTGCTTTAGTATATTTAGGTGAAAACAGTAAAACAAAAGAAAAAGTGGCAATAAAAGTTATAAATTTAGTCCAAATAAAGGATGATTATACATGGAATATGATTTGTTCTGAAATAGAAATTATGAAAAAAATAACAAGCCCATATATTGTGCGTTTAATAGATGTTTTTGAGACATAAAATAATGCATATATAATAACAGAAATATGCAATGAAGGTGATTTGACGAGTTTTATGAAAAAAAATATTATAAATTAGCAATAGGCAGTATAAATTATATTTTAAGTACTTTTAGGGATGTAAGAATTATATAAAAATGGAATTATTCATAGAGATTTAAAACCAGCGAATATATTAATTTAAAGTGGTATATAATTTCAGTTTAAAATCACGGACTTTGGATTTGCAAGAATTGTAGAAAGTTAAGATTATTTAATGTCTTCTTTAGTAGGGACACCTTTATATATGTCTCCTTAAATTTTATAAAGGAGAAAATATACAAGTAAATGTGATATTTGGAGTATTGGAATTATTTTTTATGAATTAATTTATGGAAGAACACCTTGGCCTTCTAAATCAGTAATTGATTTAGTAAATAATATGTTCTAAAATGAAATTGTATTCCATAAATATGGATAGGCGAAAGAAATAGTACAAGAAAATGTCAAAGAGTTCATTATAGGATGCTTAAAGTTCGATGAATGTGATAGGTTTTCATGGGAAGATGTGTATAATCATGAAATATTTATGTAAGAATAATAAAAAAAAATTCAATCTTAAATATAAGTAATTTCTTAAAATCATTTAAAAATTTTAAAATGTAATAATATTAAAAAAATTAAAATGAAAATTTAAATGCAAGTTTAAGCACATAAAACACGCTTTAAAGTAACAATTTAACATCTATAGAATAATAATAATAATAATAATAATAATAATAATAATAATAATAATAATAATAATTTAAATATAAATAATATTAATGTTTTTGAAAAAAAAAATACCTCTAATAATAATACACCATCTAAAATTAAAAATTTTTCTAATACTCCCAATTTATTTACTAATTATTTTTCATAAACCCATAAATTTTACTAAAAAAATACTTAATAAATTAACACTTAACAATAAATAAGATAATAATATAAAAATACAATTAAAGATAAAAAATCATGCGATTTTACATAAAATTAGTAGTCTAATAAAGTAAATTCTCATAAAAGATAAAATTCTGATTTTTTAATTAATAAAAATACACATACTGAACCATTAAGCAATATTAATAATAATTATTTTAGAGATCAAATTAACTTTAAAAATGACAATTTTAACCTTTCTCCCGTCCCTACAGAAAGTGAGAAATGTTCAATTTCACCTATAGCTCAAAAAATACCAACAGTAAAGATAAATTTGGGTTAAAAGAAGTTTAATAAAAGCATAGATTTAAAGAAAAAAAAAGCTTATAAATTAATGGAATTCTTAATAAGTCGATGGAAAAAATGAAGACTTCTTTTAATAAAACACTGCCTTAATAATAAAGTATAACTATTAATTTTCATAAAAAATCAATTGATTCTTTACTTTAAATATAAACTTTTAATAAAACAAACTAGTTTTAAAATTCGAATAATCCTTTTTTTAGATTTTTTAATTTTATAATGTGTTAGATTGATTATTTAAGTAATTATCAAGGAAAAATGAATAATAATTTTTTAAAGGAAAAAGTGGCTTTTATTTTAATTTAAAGCGGTATTAGAAAAGTCGAATATTTAAAGGAGAAAATGAATGGGAACTGGTTTAATTTAAAAAATAAATAAAATATAAATAAAATTCATAATAATAATGAAATTAGTATTAATTGTTTATAAAATATTTTAGATTAATTATATGTGTTAAATGAAGAACTTTCGAAGAAAATTAATGAGAATTAATAATTTTATTAAGAAGTTGATTAAGATAGTAGATTTAATTAACTTTTTTTTAATAAGAATAAAGAGTTTATGTAATTTGATTAGATTTCTTTGTTTTTTATTAGGGAAATTATATTTACTTTAATAGAAAAAAATGAAGATAATTGGAATTTAATTACAAATTTTGTGGAATATTATCTTATTATAAAAAATTAAACTATTGATTTCGAAAATATGGTTATTAAATAAAAAGAATCTATAATTTTTTTAAATTAATTCGATTATTTATAGAAAAATAAATAATATAAACTTAGCTTATAATAAATAAAAAATATACAATAGAAAATATAAATTTGTGTTATGTGAAAATATATATTATATTTTTTATTTTTTAATTATATATATTAAAAAAAAAAAAACATATAAATAATTTTATATATTAAGAATAATAAATAAAACAAATTGTATATATATTAAAAATTTTAAAAAAAATAAAAATATTTTTATACAGACTTAATATATATGTTTTTTAAAATCGAGAAATAAAATAATAATTTGATAAGAAATTATGAAAATTATTTAAAAAAAAATAATATAAAATATAAAAAGTGTGTTATATTTATTTTTTAAAAAAAACAAATATATATATATAAAATAATTTAAAAATTAAAGGAAAAAAAATGAATATATATTTATAAAAATATTTATATAATATAAATATATATATATATATATATATATATATATATATATATATATAATAATAATTATGTATAATATATAAATATATTAATAATTATAATTATGTATTTATAAATATTATTTTTTTAAAAAAATAAAATAAACAAAATTAAAAAATTCAATTCATCATAAAAATTCTTGATGCAATATCCATAACAATCCAATCAACTCCTTCTAATAGTCCATCTCCAGTAACTGCCGAACAAGGTATGATTCCCCAATGTCTTGTTGATATATTATCTAAAGCTAGATATTCTTTTATTTCTTCACATGTTAAAGATCCAGCTATATCTTATTTATTACAAAAAATAAGTAATGTGGATCCAACTAATTTCTCTTATTTTAATAAACTATGAAGTTCTTTTTTACAATCTTATAATCTCATTTTATCTGAACTGTCAACAACCCATATTAAACCATCTGTTTATTCAAAATAATTCCTCCAGTAGGACCTTATTGTAGTCTAACCACCTACATCCCATACATTTAATTTATAAGCTTCGTATTATAAAGTTTTTATGTTAAAACCTAGTGTAGGGGATATTTTATCTATATCTTCGCCGTTAAATTTTTTTAAAATCGTTGTTTTACCGGCATTGTCTAAACCCAATATTAATAATCGCATTTCCTTTTCTTTTTCTTTAGTTTTTTTTAGTATTTTTAATAATCCCATTTTTATATATAAATATTATTTTTTTATATTATATATTGTTGTATTTAATATATAAACAAAACAAAAAATATATGAAAAATTATTTTCTTAATAAAATAAAACAATTTAAAAATAAATATATTATGTACATAGAGTAAATATATAATTAATAAAATAACCACAAAAAGATTAAATATACATAATTTAAAAAAAAAAATGAACAAAAATTATTCATATAATAAAACAAAAAGAATGATAAGTTTGTCAAAATTAAATGAAGTTAATTTTTTATTATCAAAACTAAAAAGTAATAGTCTATAAAGGTAAATATATAACTTTATTTATATATATATATATATATATAATATATATATATATATATATATATTATATATATTTATGTATTTATATAAATATATAATTAAAGTAATTAAAGTAAGCCTAACTAAACTTAAAATAAATATATCAATTTAATTTAAGAACCTAGTTTAATTAAAAATATTTCAACAACATAAAGTTTTTGTACTTATTCTTTATAGAATATGTAATTTTAAAGTAATATCAGCCATAAAAATTCTTTCTCTATTCGATAATTATAATTAATTAGATAAAAAAAAATAAGTTAAATACGCTCAACACAAATAATTCTTGTATATAGCATACAAGAACAGTTTGTAATTCAATGATTAGTAATCCATATAAAAGTATTGCTATTTCTAACTATTAACCTAATAAAGATTAAATAAAACCTGAATAAATATCAAGATTAAATCTTATGTGTTGTAATATGAATAATTTATAAAAAGAATCTTAAGAATTATTGAAAAATAGAATCGAATAATATAAATAGTAGATTTTGGATTAAAATGATTAAATATAAAAAATAAATAATTAAATTACTCTAGTTTCAAATAAAAACTTTGATATTTAAAAAAATAATGAAGTAATTATATATATAGAATTCTATTTAAATATAAAAAATAAAATTAATAAGATTATAAATGAAGAAAAATATTTATTAAATGCACAAACAAAATTATTTTAAAAAGAAAATAAATAAGTTAAATAAAATTAATATAATTAAATTATTATAATAAAATATAGTTAGAAGAAAGTATAGAGTTAATTAAAAATCATTCTGATTAAATAAAAAAATAAATAGACAATGAAAATTAGAAAATACAAATTTTAAAATAAATTATTTAAAATTAAAAAAATAAATATTTAGTTTAACACGTAAAATTAATTTTAATATATATAAATAAATATATATATATATATATATATATATATATATAAATTTTTATTATTTAAGTCTGAAAATAAAATTCTTTAAACAGATTATTTTTAGAGTTAAAAAATTGCTGCGAGTTAAATATATAAATAAAATCTTTTAGTATTTTTTTTTTTTTATTTATTTATAATTAATAAATTAAAAAAAGGAAATTAAATTTGATAATTTTTAAAAAAATATTTTATTATATACAAAATGATACAATAAATAGTATTTAGAAATTATATTATTTATAAAAATAAATTTATATGTATAAACTTTAATCTAATTATAATTAAAATAATAATATAAAAATAAAATTAATGAAAAAATTTCTTATCATTGGAGATTTATAAGGAAATATTTTAGAATTAAACTAAAAAATTGCATTATATTAAAAAAAAGTTAACATTTTGACTTTGCTATATGTATAGGTAAGACTTTATCATTAGAAAGGCCATTAAGTGATTTTAAAAAGTCTAATACATAACTACCTATACCTACATATTTTATAGACGCATCTGAATTATCTCAATGTTTAAATTAATTATATCCTTCGGGTTAAGAAATTCTTCCTAATTTAATATTTTTAGGAAGATCAGGAATTCAGGAAATTTAAGGAATCAAAATATGTTTTTTAAATGGAATATAATCTTAAAAATATAAAGAATTATATATAGAAGAATAATCATAAAAAATATCTTTTTCAGGTTAAAAATAAATATATATTTATATATATTTAAAATTTATATGTATATAAATATATATATATATATATATATATATATATATATATATAATTTATTTATATTTTTTTTATAGGATCTTATTACACATACAATGATATAAAATTAATTGAAGAAGAATTAAAAATTGAAGAAAATAAAATTCTAAAGGCATAGATATTTTTATTTCAAATGAATGGCCTTATGGATTTGAAAAACATACTAATTTTTCCACTCAAATTAACAAAAAATCCTAATATATAAGCAAGTTAGTATAAATATTATGCCCAAGGTATCATTTTTGTGCTTTAGAAAATATATATTACTAACGATTTCCATATTTAAATGAGAAGAAATAAATTAGTCGTCTAGTATGCTTAGGGTCTTGGGGATCTGATTAAAAATATATTGCTGCTTTTTAAATAAAAGGTGTAAATGAAATGAATGAAGAAGAATTAGGAGAAATAACAAAAGATGCGACTAGAAATCCTTATGAAAGTGAAGTTATTACATAAACTAAAAGTTAGACTTTAAATTAATTCATCGAAAATGAACTTAGGGGTGTAGATGAATAAGGCTCTAGTGAGGGCGAAGCTGAAACATAATAAAAATAAGTGAAAAATGAAGAAAGTTTAAAGGAAAATTGTTAATTGTTTTTTTCTGGATTTGATTTTAAAAGTAAAGATGATGATATAGTAGAGTTTTTATAAAGATGGGGAAAAATCTAAAAAATAAATATTTTTTATGATTAAAAAAGTAAAAAACATAAAGGATGTGGATTTATTTTATTTTCGGATAAAAATACTACAGAAAAAGCCTTAAATGATAGTGAAAAATACGCTTTAATAGGAAGAAGAATTAAATTTTCAATATAAAATTAAAAAAATAAGAAAAATGATGTTTTCTTATATATATTCTATATATATATATATATATTTTTTTATATATAAGGATTAAAATAATTAATGTTGGTTTTGTTATAATAATCCTAATATTGATAAAAATTATATTTTTTATGAAGGAAAAAAATGCTATTTAGCATTAGATAAAGGACCTTTGAGTAAAAATCATATGCTTATCATACCTTATAATCATACTTAAGCTTCTATTTATTTAAATGATGATGAATTTGAAGAAATGGAATCTATAAAAAGATAGTTTGTGAGTATTTTCGATTAAAGATATAATTAAGGTATGATTATTTATGAAAGATATATAAGTATGGCATCTAATGCTTCTCATATGTTGATTAATTGCGTTCCTTTCGATTTCGAGTAAATATAGGATTTTAAGAATTAATTTGAAGGAGTAGTAAGGTAGCATAATATAGATTTTTTTAAAATAGAAAAGAATGAAAAAGTAAAGAACTATGTAGGAGAAAGTGAATTTTATTTCAGTATAGAAATTTGTTAAGGAGGGAAAAATAGTGTTTATGATAAATATTTATACGTGTTTAGACCTACTTAAAAATTCCCAATTAATTTCGGAAGACTTATTATATGCGAAATATTAAAAATGCCAGAAAAAAATTAATGGTAAAATTGCAAATTAGAAAATTTTAAAGAATAATAGAAAGAAATGAAATTTAATAGTTTAAAATTAAATAAATAATGAAAAATTAATAAAAAATATAATTAAAATGAATATTTATAAATAAATATATATAAACATATATATATATATATATATATATATATATATTTATTTATATATATATATATATATATATTGTTTTTCATAATTTTATATTATCTTTTTCATTTAATTTTTATTCACTTTTTAATATATTTGAACTATTATTATTTACTATATATTTACTGTTTATTGCTTATAATATATTTATTGATTCTGTTATTTAATCTTTCTATTCAAATTTGATTTTTTATTATTATTTATTTAAGTCTTATTATTCTTGATATACTTAAATATATTCTTCTTTTAGTTTATCTAGTATCTCTTACTATATAATCTCTTCATTTCTATCTGTATTATTTACTAATTATTTTTGAAAATCTTAAAAATTTTCGTTTTCATTATTTATTTAAATTAATTTTTATTTTTATTATTAGCATTCAATTTATTATATATTTTATTATAATTGTTTAGCTTTCTTTTTTTTTTTTTTTTTTAATAAAAAAAAAAGATTATATTTAATTTTTTTTAGAAAAAATAAATAAATACATATTTCAATTCTATTTATTTATTAATTATAGGCAATTTTTAAAGTTAAATTTTTAAATCTTCCATTTGCTTTTATTTTCTTTGATTTACTTTTATTTAATATCTCCTACATAAAAACCCACAAATTCCCAAAAATATAGCAACACAAAAAATACAAGATATAATTAAGCCTAAATCCAATTCTTCCATATGTTTATCTTTATGATCTCTATAGACCTCCACACACACATTCTAGCAAGTAATAAACTCTGAAAATTCAATACTTAAATTATTACTCGGCTTACATATATCATAACACCTTCCATAATCTTTAATTTGGAAATCTCGTTAATAATCTTCACAATAATTAGTACTAAGAACGCAATTTTGATAATTTAATAAATCCATTGTAAGGTTACTATTTTATTTAATATTATTAAAATAATTCAAGCATCCATTTTCTTTTAGACATAACTAAAAGTCTTATTGTTGTTAAATTTCAGTAATATTAAAATAATTTTTTACATATTTTAAATAACAATCGTTTTTACATATTTATATATCTATGAAATTCTATTCATATTTAGTACTACTTATACACTCAGTAGAACAACTATAATAGTTTTAAGTTATTATAGGATATGTTTCTGTTGCTATACAATTAATATTGCTTATGGTACATTTTTAGTATTATTGCTTGTCGTTTAAGAACTTTTGGTTTTCGGTGCTATTATGTAAAAACTTGTATTGCAATACGTCACAAATTGACATAGCACATTGTTCATATTCTTTTACAAATTCAGTTTATAGGGTTTACGTTTCAATTATTAATAATAATATTGTTATTATCATCATTTTTTATGATTTCATTTTATTATTTTTTTAAAAATAAATAAATAAAAATATAATTTTGATGATATTTATTTAAATAATAATTTATATACTACTTTTTTTATAAAAAATAAATAATATTAATCAATTTTTGGTTGGATCTACAACTTTTCCCATAAAAAGTACATTATGAGTATTTAAGCTACTTATAAAATAAATGAAAGGTTTATTGCAAATGAAATTCATAGTAACAGGCATACATCTCATCATCATAACTGCACTAGTAGCAGCAGAAGCCTCAGCACCTTCTTCATTAACTTCAATCATAGCTTTATGGAATACTTGTGAAATATAAATTGTATTAGAAGGATCCATATTAGAAAAGTCAGCAGTTCCTTAAGAGAAACAATCAACTAAACCTAAATCTTTTAAGATTTAACTAAGATCAATGCTTTCACTTGGGGAAACTTTGAACTTAGGTAATGAAATATTAACTTCAAGATTATCTAGATTAGTTTAGACTTCATTTAAAATATTTTAATTAAGATGATTTTATTCAAATCGTTATAATGTCTGTATTTTTTGTTAAAAATATATAAATAATAAAATAAATACCATATTAACAGGCAAAATTATATACATAGCATATTAATTTCCTTTATAAGGTAACTAAATGTATTAAAAATGACTATTTTCACCATAATTAATTTTCTTTTTAGCCTTCATCATATCAACTTATACTTAACCACCATTATTTTCTAAATTGAACACTTCTTTAACTGTTTTTTTATTTTCAAATTTAGAAGCCCACTCTCCTTTGAAATATATGGCATTTACAAGAACCATTTTAGTAAGATTATTGATAGCTCCTTCAGGTATAAGATTTTCAATTTTATTACATGTCTATGTTTCTACCCATTTGTTTATTTCTTATCTTATTTAATCAAAAGAGTTTTTAAAATCTACTTACTACAATATTTCAGGGAAATGCTTTTCACATAATTATTTATATGTTTAGGCTAATTCAAGGCCTTAGTAAATTTTATTGCATACTATAGATTTAATACCATCATCTATATTTTATAAATATATTTTTTATTATTTTTGTTACTCTATGTATTAAGTTTTTAAGATAATTAAGATAATTCAGACCATAAATCTTTTTATTCATTGAAATTTAAAAGCTATTTAAATTCATCTAAAGATTTATTGTTTGCTCCTAAAGCTGTAAGCGATAATACTATATAAATAGAAATAGGTGAATACACAAGATTTTAATTTTGATTTAGTTTTTAGTATAATTAGAGAGTAAACTTTGTAATATTTTAGCTAATACTTGTTTTTGAATCCATTTTGATTATTTTTATCTTTTTATAAATATAAATATAATTTTTTTAATTTTTTCTACAAAAGATTTTATTTGAGATAAATTTATAAACATTTGTTAATTTATTTTTTAAATAAAAACATTTTATTTTATTTAATATTGATAATGTATTTTTTTTTTAATAAAAATTATTTTTCAATAAATTTTAATATACAATATAATTTTATATTATTTTAATTTATCATTTTTTTATAAAATATATCATTTTTAATAATAATAAATATAAAAATCATATAAATATATTATTTTCAATATATATTATACAATTTTTATTTTTTTGGTTTATTATTAATATATATAATATTATTTAGAATAAATCAATTTTTTATTTTAAATTTTTAAATGAAATTTTAATATTTATTTATTATTATAATCAATTTTTTATATTATATTAAACGTGTAATAATATAGCGTCAATTTAACTAATATTAGGTAAAACCTCAATTAGTTTTTATCGATAAGAAGGAAATTATGCAACTGGATTTTACTATAAATATACCTTTTTAATTAAAAATAATAAAGTTAATTAAAATATAATTAATTGATATATTTTACAGTTTGTATTTATTAATTTTAACTTAGAATATTTAAATCATCAAAATTTTCGATCTTGTTTATATTTAACCAGAGTTCTTAAAGTTTTTATAGTTTATTAATTCCATCTAACTTAGTAATTTTATTCATTGATAAATCTAATAATATTAAATTAGTTAAATTATCAAGTCCATTTATTTATGAAATATAATTTTCTGCAATATATAATTCAGTTAAATTAGTCAATTATTCTAATCCTGTAGAAATATCAATTATTCTATTTGCCTTTTTAAAACAAAAATACGAATTTAAAATAGATAAAAATAAATACTGTTAAAGCTAAAGTACTCATAGAATCTTTTAAAGGTTCTAAGTTTTCGATTTATTTGATTCTATTTTTACCTAAATAAAGTTCCTATAAAAGAGGAAGTTTATCTAAGTTTTATATCTTTTCTATTTTATTAGAACCTAACTCTAACATAGTAAGTTTTGGAAAATCCAAATTTTCAATAACTTTTATTTTGTTTGAAAGTAGAAATAATTTTTAGATTTATTTTAATGTATCTAATCCTTCGATTTTTTTAATGTTATTAAATGATAAATCAAGTATTCTAAAAAGATATATATTTATAAAATTATATTAATATAAATAAATATATATAAATAAATACATAAAAAAATATAAAAATTTATATATATATAAATATATATATATATATATATATAAATATTTTTATATATATTTATTTTTATATATACACATATATTTAATAACCTTAAGTTTACTAAGTTTTCTAAACCTTCAATTTTTACTATTTTGTTATCATATAATTCTAATTCTACTAATTTTATATTATTTTCTAATCCTTCAATTTTTTTTATTAAATTGTTTCTCAAACAAAGCGTCTTATTTTTATTTTAGTCTATATATTATACATTTATTATACATTTATTTTTATACTGTTAAATTTTTATTTTCAGAAACTCCTTCTAAAACTTCAATTCTATTACTAGGAATAAAAATTTCCTTTATTTATAAATAATATTTTTAAATGTTTTTTGTTTTTTACTGCATCATCTTTATCTATATGTATATCGACACCAATTCTTTTATAAATTATTTTCGCTTTTTCTGGTTTTTCTTATATTTGGATTTGTACAGTTTATTAGTTAGTAGTGTTGTTTTATATGTTTTCTTCTTAAATTTAATTAGTGTTTTATTATATTTAAACTTATTATTGGTTTTCCATTTTTTTAAATTTAAAATATTAATTTATTACAAAATTCTTTTGATATATATTTTATTGAATAAACAATTTATTTTATTTTAAAATAAAAATTCTTAATATAATTTTTTATTTGTAATAAAAATATAAAATGATGAAATTAAAAAAAATTATATAATATTAATAGATATGCTTATAAATAAAAATTAAAATAAATTTCAAAATGTAAATGAAAGTAAGATATACTAATAAAAGATTCTTATAATAAAAATACTTTGAATAAATGATTATATATAATATTCTATATTAAAAATATTTAATTTATTTATTTTTAAAATAATTAAATTATTATATTTATATTTATGAAAAAAACAATATAAAAATATTAAATTAAAAAATGTATATAATAGGATAAACAAAGTTTTTTATCATACAAATATATTTGAAAGAAAAAAAAATAAAAAAAAAAATAATAAATTTAAATATATATATATATTTTTATAAATAAATATATTAAAATATAAATATAAATATATTTTATATATATAAATATATATCTATTATTTTTTTTTTTATTTTTATTTTTATAAATATATTATAGATATAAGATTTTAATATTTATTTATATTTTAATAATAACTTTTTATAATTATTTTTTTATATTAATTTATTTATCATATTTCCATATCTATATTTATATTTAATTAATAATTTAATATATGTCTTATTAATTTATATAGATTTCTGATTTTAGAATAATTTTTTTTAATAAAGATACATTTTTTATTTATTTTTATATTAAAAATCAATTTTAATTTTTTTATATTATTTGTATATTTTTATTTTATTTTTAATATAAATATAATGTATTTAAGTTTATATACTCATTTATTATATATCTATAAATTTTTAATATTTTTTTTTTTTATTATTATTTAATTCATTTTTTTATTTCATTTATTTTCTTTTAAATTTAATATTTTAATAGCTTATCTTTTTTTTATTTATTTATTTAAAAAATATCTAATTAATAATTAAAATTCTTAATTATATTAATTAAATATATATTAATTATTTTTTTTTTTATATTCATAATATTTTAATATTATTAATTCTATTATTAAAAAAGTCAATTTATAATAATTAAAGTTATTAAATTATTATTTTCGTTTTTATACTAAGTTTTTTTTTTAAAAAAATTATTTTAATTAATATTTATGATTTTTAATTTTGAATTATAATTTAAAATTAAAACTTAAAAAAAAAAAAGTTTTTATCTAAGATTTAATAATTTTTTTGATAATAAAATAATTTATTTGTATTTTGTCAAAATATTATTATAGAATTTAATATTTTAGAATTTTAAATATATATAATATTATTAAAAATTTTTAGCATTAATTAATAGATATATATCTTTTTATTTTTAAAAGAAACAAACAAATAAATATTTATTTCTTTTAAATATATTTGTTTTATTATTTATTCACATATCTATAACAAAACTTTGGCATAAGTTCTACAATTTTTCTATATATTCCGCTTCCGTGTTTTATTGATTGTTCTTTTATTTATTTTGTATTTCCTAATTATTTTAAAATATATATATAAAATAAAATAATTTTTACTTCATTTATTGTACTTTTAAAAGTATCTAATTAATTTTTTAACTTTTCTATAATTTTTTCTCTTTTTAAACCATTTACTTCTTTATATAGCCATTTTAAAATTTCTGTCAATTGATAGGTTTTTTCTCTTATTAAAAATTGTGAAAAAAATAAAAATAAAAATAAAAATATAAATATATAAATAAAATATATATATATATATATATAACTTTATTTATATTTATATAAACTTATTACTCTATATTTTTTTGATTGACATTTTTTTGTTCTTATTTTTTTTGAATTTTAATCAATTAGAAAGCTAAAGTAAAACTATCTTTTGTTTCCTTTATCGCAGCATCATTTTCGAAAAATTGTTTATTTATTTCTTATTAACTCTTTAAAAAATCCACTCCCTTATTTTTTTATAAAAACTACTCCCATTATTATTATATTTATTAATTTGGATTTTACTTTAATTATTTATTAAATTCTTCTTTTTACTAAAGTAGTGCATTTCTATTATTATTTCTATTTTATTGTTATTATTGACTTTTAACTGAAGCTTAAATAATCAAATCTTAATCCGGATCTTTTTTTACTATTTGACTATATGTACATAGGAATTAATATTTTTCTAAAAAAAATCAAAACTTTAATTATTTAACTTATGTATAGTATCTATTTAGTTTACGTTATTTTAAAATCTTTAATAAGCATTTTATACCTCATCATTATTATCTAAATCAATATCTTTTTCTACTTTCAGTTTTATTTTGGGCATTATTTAGAAGATTTATTTATCTTTTTCATTTTCTAAGTCTTTTTTTTAGCCTTTAAATAATCTTAATATTATTACTATTAATCCCAAAATTCCTAATCTGTAATTCCTCCTTCTTCTTTTTTCAAAACTAGATTTTCGTATAATTATTATTCTTTTTTATTTTAGGCCAAAATCAAAGTCTTTACCTTATTATCAAATTCTATATCGTCTGATTTTTCGACAGATTTTTTCTTTATTAAATTATCGATTTTATTTCTTAATTATTAATCTATTATATGTATTTTTACTCCTGTCTCTCTTTATTGATTATCTATTTAAACGTACATTAAATAACCAATTCCATTATCAGAATCTTCCCTTTAAATTATTTAATTTCTGCTTGAATTTTCTGTATTTGTAAAAAATAAACTACATGCCTTTACCTAATTAGATTTTTATTTATGTATTGAAAGAAATAATAAGCGTATATTAGTTGCTATTATATAAGAGTCGAATTATTACCAAGTTACTTTTTGAAAACCAAAACCTTTAGTTTCTAATATACGAATGTGTGTAGGTTCAAGTTCTATTTATTCGGTATAGCATAATTCTTATTGTAAATTTGCTAATAATTGTATTTATTTTTATTAGGCTTGTTCTTTTGTTCTTATTTCTTCTTCTATATCCATTATTATTATTTTATTTAAATATGATATATATATATATATATATATATATATATATATATATATATATATATATATTTTATTAAAATGAATTTTTAATAACAAAATCAAAAAAAATATTAAATATATATATTTTAATTCAATTTATTTGAATTTGTTAAATAATTAAGTTTAGAATATTTTCGAAATAGAGTTTTATTTTTTATTCGTCTTAAAAAAAACTTTTGTCGAAATTATTTACTTTGTCTATTTTTTCTATTAATTCATTTCTTTTATTATCATTAATTTTTTTACTAAATTTAACTAAAAAACCTCTTAAAAAACTATAAAATTATAATCTTTTTTAATACTAAATAAATAAATAATTATTTACTCTTATTTTCCTCTTATATAACCTTCTAATTATTTCATATTTATACCATCTGCTAAACCTCTATTTTATGCCTCTATTTCTTTATTTTCAATATAATCTAAAGCTCCTTAACGATATCCCATCTTTTATATATATATAAATAAATATATGTATAAAAATATGTATAAATATATATATAAATATATAAATATATAAATATATATATTTTATATAAATTAATATTTTTTTTTAATTAATTAATATATACTGTCATGAAATCTTCTTCGAGTTTTTTTAATTCTCTTTCGGCAATTTTTTTTTAAGCTTTTTCTTAATCTTCTTCAAAAAAATCTTCATCTTCCATTTTATTTTTTAAGTTAAGTAAATTAATAAATAAAAATATTGAAATTTATAAAATAAAGTATAAAATTAAAATAATATATAAATTATTAAATTTTCAAAAAATATTTTATTTCTCAATCAAATCACAAACATAATCAGCAATAGGCAATGAACAAGTCCATCCAGGTGAGACTACATTAAGTAAATGCATACTTAATTAGTCTTTATCAATAATAAAGTCATTTTCCAATTCCCTAGTCTCCTAATTGATTAATTAGGCCCTAATTCCAGGTCTTCCATCTACAAAATCTTAATAAACTCCTTTTGGAAATCCCAAAAAATTGACTTCTTTTTAATCAAAAAGAGTAAACAGGTTTAAGGCTTCTTTTATAGTTTACGGCTTGTATATTTTCTTTAATTCTTCTTTTGCGTGTTTAAGATAGAAAGAGGCTTTTGGAGAACACATATTCCAGAAGTAAACTTATAAAATTTCCAGGAATTCCGTAATTTCTTTTTGGGTTATTTTTTTACCTTTTTCGCCGTATTATTCCCTATATAAGGCTGGAAATGCACTAGGACCGAATTTTATTTTATTATCAATGGTACATGTGAGATGTACACCTAAAAAGTAATTACCTTTTTTAGGAGGAATGGGGTATATTAGGGAATTAATGTCATCATGTGTTTATTTATGTATTAAATAATGACCTTTAAAAGGTAAAATAGTGTATTTTTAACAAAAACCGAATTATTTTGCGATTTTATCCGCATATAAACCCGCTGTATTTATTATATATTTAGATTCAATTGTTTGTTTGGAACCTGTTAGACTGTTTTTTAAGGAAAAAAGGTTCGTGTAGTCTTTTTAAGATATTAAATTATCGAATTCTTCATTTAAAATTAATTCAACATTTTTTTATTATTTCAAATCGTTATGAAATGAAAGAATAACAGATTTACTATCACTTACTTTAGTAGTAGGAGTAAATAAATAATTATAACCTTATTTGTTATCTTTAAGATATTTTTCGATTTTAACTGCTTCTTAAAAAGTCAACCATTAATATTCTATTTAATTTAGATCAGCTTGTTTTTTTAATTCTAAAAGAATTTAATATTATTCGTCATTATTAGCAATAATAAATTTACCAGTATTTCTATATATATATAAATATATATATATATAAATATATATATATATATATATTTATTTATATTATAATATATATATTTTTTTTATATATTTTTCTAATTTATAACTTTAATGGTAGATTATTATCTATTATATATTTTGTTAATTATTCATTTCCTTATTTACAAAATTAAGCCTTATATGAATTTTTAATATAATATAAGCCAGAGTGTAAAACACTTGAGTTTCTTGTTGATGTATGCTAGCCTATTTAATTTTCTTTTTCAATTAAGCATATTTTTAATTATGGATATTTATTAGATAGTGCTCTTGTTATTGTTGATCCAATTATTCCTCCTCCTATAACACATATATCTTTTTTTTTCATATTTTAATTTATATATATATTAAATTATTTTGATTATTTATTTCTATTTAATATTATTATGTAATTTATAATTTTGAATTAATTAATATATTAAAAATTATTTTTATTTGTTATTATATAAAATATATTAATATTTAATTATATTAAAATATATAATATTTATTTAGAATAATCAATCATTATCCTTTTTTTAAAAAATATTAATAATTATTTTTATTTAATAATAAAAAAATCTAATATTTTACTAATAAAAATAATCTAAGTATAAATATAAAAAAGTACAATAAAAACTTTATAGAATTCATTTTTTCAACTAAATTTAATTTATAAACCATAAAATTTATATTAATTTATTATTCTAAACAAGTTCCATTAAAAAACTATTAAAAAATAATAATTATTGTATAAATATAAAAATATTCTTGAAAATAAAAATTCATTTAAATAATAATTAAATATTGATATATAATATACAAATTATTAGAACAAATATAATATAAAACATTATCAATATTAAAACTTTAAAAATCTAGAAATAAAAAAATGAAGTTTGAAAAAATAAAATAATAATAGTATAAAAAGAGTAATTTAAGTATTATTTATTAGATAAATAATTAAGACTAATAAATTTTTTATAATTTTAATATATAAAAATAATATTTTAAATAAGTTTATACCTTTAACTAAATTTTAGATAAAATAAATTAAAGACTTATTATTTCATAATTTGATAATACTGCTGATAAATTTAGAAAATGATGTTAAAATATATTCCAAAAATAATATCTTATCAATTTTTTAATATTTAAAAAATGTTTCATATAAT